ATAATGAAAATGTCTTCCTCCATCAATTTTCTTCTCTTTGCCAGTACGGATGGAAAAAGAAAAATTCTGAAGTCTCTCCTGGGTTCAACAAAAGCTAAAAGTAGAGTAAAAAGATGGTGTCTCCAGTCTTCTTTTGTATCTTCTTGAAAGATAATGTGATACATTAGGCAATGCAGTAAGAGCATTAAAGGATGATGCAATAATGACGATTATTTCACTACTGTATCATCCACCAAGGATTTCATCATTCTTCCACTTCATTATTATTTTAGTCTTGTTTATTGCATATTTGGGAAAATATGATGAAGAGTGTTGAAATGATATGTAGGAGGACAGCAGCAAAGTGTTTTTCAAAGCATAGGAAAATTAAGATTCCACAATGTAAAGATTTATAAAAGGATCCAAAGGACCCACATGATCATTTTAAGACAGAAATCATTATTCTACTTTCAAAAATAAGTATGTTTTCTCTTTGTTCTTTTTAAAACCTCTAGAAAAAGAATAAAAGTCATGCAATATCAATTATTACAGAGGTAGAGAAAGCTCAAAAATGGAAATTGGGTCCAATGGACCCTGATAGTATAATGAAGATTAAGGTCTCCAATTTTAGTTTTAGTCCTACTTAAATACGTCCCTGGCTCAAGTGAAGATAAGAACTCAAGACCAGGAAGAACTGCATTTATTTATTTTTTCAGAAGTAGTATTTAAAAAAAGAAAACTTCAAACAATACAACTTTTTTAAAAGTCTGTCCTCTACCACTACCACCAAGAGAAAACTACTTTTAAAGTTTGCTATAAGCTTCAAGATAGAAACTATGCACATGCAAATACATACAGATACATGCACACACAGTTGGCAATTTTGATTACTTAACACAATCACACTATACACGTAGTAACAGCTCTGGATCATGATTCCCCCCCCATTCATTCATTATGGGCCTCCTTTCACATCCACGTAAATAGATATACCACACTCTGATACTCTTGGGATAAATGTATTCATTTATTTAACCATTTCCCTACTAATGGACATATTAGGCTAGCTCCTGTTTTTCTCTATTACAGATACTGTAGTTATGACCATCTTACTCCTAACACCTCAACACTGAATAAGTCATCCTTTATTAGCACAAGCCATGGACGGGACAGGAACAGAACAGAATAGAATAGAATAGAGGTGCTTTCCCAACTCAGGGCCTCTGCTCAAGCTGCTCCCTCTGCTGGGAATGTACTTCCCCTGCTCTTCTGCTCATCTTCAGTCTGAGCTTAAATGACTCTTCCTCAATGCACTATCAGTACTCCTACCTAAACAAGACATGTTATGCTCTCATGATACTTGCTACTTCCATCCTAGCACTGCACTTTTTGATGATACTCCATTCAACCAAGCTCCACATGGGGAGGGGCAGTGCTGCTGTTTACCTTTAGGGTCAGCCAAGCACAGTGCCTGTCATCAAGGGACCAAACCACACCTGTCTTAGACAGAAACCGCCAGATTTAGTGGCTATATTTTAGAGAAGGTGAATCGATCCACCACATGAGCTAAAAATTTTTAATAGCAAAATGGACAATTCGTTTAAAATGATAATTTCCAGTGCTGGCAGGCTGTGGGCAAACAGGCTGCTCAGGCCCTGTTGGCAGAGGCCTAAAATGGTACCATCTTCCTGGTGGGGAACTTGGCCATATACGTTACCATGCAATTCCACTTCTAGGACTGTGGCTCATAAAAATAATCACGGACATACACAAAGATTTAACTACAACAATGTTCTTCACTACCTATTTTTATAACAGGAAAAACTGCAAACAACCTAAAAACCAAGCCTCTGTTGCTGAAAAAATAAACTGGTATGCTCACACAATGGAACACTGTGCAGCCATTAACAAGTGCTTAAGGGACATCCCTGGCAGTCCAGTGGTTGAGACTCTGCACTTCCAGTGCAAGGGGTGTGGGTTCGAACCCTGGTTGGGGAACTAAGATCACACGTGCTGTGCAGTGTGGCCAAAAAAAAAAGTACTTATAACCATGTTGAATTTGAGTCCCCCATGGAATTATAAGTAAATGGCATTACAACATATTCATAATGAGCACTTCAGTGAAAAAAAGGTGGTTACTGTACAATATCATCCCATTTTTGTGAAACAGGTGCATGTGCTTACTTATATGTGCACTGACATTCACAAAAATGTTTACAGTGACTATCTACAAGTGGTAAATTTATACAGCATTTGTTTTTCTTTTTGAGTTTTAAAATTTTTATAGTTCACAGGCATTACTTATAAGAAAAAAATTAAAGCTGTCTTTTAAAAATGTCCTTCTCCCCTGCTGCCCACCCTCCAGGGGGCCTGGTAGACCAGGCGCAGCTCATTTAGGTGGGAAGCCAAGTGTTTCACTTATTACCTCAAAGAAAAGGTCATATCCTAGTTAATGACCCTAATTTCTGAAGTCTCTACTTCAAACCATATAGAATTAGAAAAGGGGCAAAGAGGAGGAAACAAGGGGCACAAGTGATGATCGTGACTCCCAGCCAAGCTGCTTATAGAACATCAGGTGAGCCGAGGACAGGGTGTCCACTACAGCCCCCTGACCTTAAGACCTGAGCCAACCAACTGCTCTGTGAGTCACTCTGAGACACTGACAGGCGCTTTCCCTTTGCAGCGATATGGTGAGTACATACTTCCAAGGAGGATTCCAAGGGGGAAAACTGCCTGGGAAGCACTGAAAATACTTAGGACCTGGGATTCCCAAACCCTGACTGTGCTTTAGAGGTACTCTAAGAGCATGTTAAAAAAGAAAAAAAAAAGCAGGACTTCCCTGGTGGTCCAGTGGTTAAGACTCCACGCTCCCACTGCAGGCAGCGTGGGTTCGATCCCTGGTCAGGGCGCTAAGATCCCACATGCCGTGCGGCACAGCCAGGAAAAAGAAAAAGGAAAAAAAGAAAAAGCCAGACTCCTGGCTAGACCCACTGCATTAGAATCTAGATTCCTGTGGGTTAGGCCAAGGAATTTTTTTTTTTTTAACTTCTCAAGTGATTCTGAAGCAGACAACCCACATACCACTGTTCAGCGATCGTTTAACAACTGCTGGCTAGAAGGAACCAAGAAATACCTACTCCATCTGACTCCAATTATATTAGCACCAAAGTCAACTCAAAAAATAAAGCCTCCAAAAATAACTCAGATTTCACTACCTTTGGTGTTTTTAACAAATCTCACCACTGAGAACTTCATCCTTTCACTTCACTAAATTCTCCTCTTCTAAGCTATAGTCCATTCTCCTTTATTTGGTCCTCAGTGGACCCAGGAAACAGATCATCTCTGTTAAAATGCATGATGACACTCAAGATGGAAATGCACTGCAACAGAAGAAAAACAAAACCGTCCTGCACAGCAGCCATGAAGCCACAGAGCACCACCCTGAGCTGGGTCACCCTGGGGGACAGCTGGACACAATGGACCTCAGCAAGCACCCTGCCAAGGGTCCCTTCAACTTCAAACCTATCATCACCCATTTAGCCCTACGTTCTGTGCAAGATCTTCCTATTCTTTGAGGACTTGTTTCTTGATGAAGAAAAGTCAAATGCTTCCCAGGGATGTTTTCAGGAAGCATTTCATACTATGATTAAACAGAATCATGAAATCTCAGTGTTTTCTAACTCAGTGGGTTTCTCCTGGAACTCTGGACCCTCAATGGCATGGAATCACTGATTTTCTAAGACCCATATTCCTATTTAGTCACAGAGTTCAAATCCTTTACCTGTTGTGATAATTTTAAAACACAGTCCCCAAGGGAGTTCCCTGGCAGCCCAGTGATTAGGGCTCCGCACTCTCACTGCCGAGGGCCCGGGTTCAATCCCTGGTTGGGGAACTAAAATCTCACAAGCTGCATGGTGTGGCCAAAAATTAAAAATTAAAAATTAAAAAATAAAATGTGTCTCAGAGTGACTCACAGAGCAGTTGGTTGGCTCAGCCCCCAAGTTCTTTGATACTCCTCTCATCCAGAAGTGGGGTTCTCAGCATTGTGAACGTACTAAAAGTCACTGAACTATATACACATAAAATGGTTAAAATTGTGAAATTATGTTATGTGAATTTTACCTCAGTACAAAAAGTGAGATTCTGTACCTCCTGTTTTTGAATCTGGGCTCTGTGCCTGCTTGACCTACAGAATATGGCAGAAGTGACGCTGTGCTGACTTCTGGGCCTAGGTCCTAAGAAACTGGCAGCTGCTTCCATTTCCTGTCTTCTAGAATGCTCACCTTTGGAACCTAGCCACCACACTGTGAGGATGTGTAAACAATCTCTGCATAGGTTAACTAGGAGAGGAACTGAGGTCTCCGGACCAAAGCCCCCTCTCAGCTCCCAGGCGACAGCCAGCAACAACTCACCAGCCATGTGAAGGAGCCATCTTGAAAGAGATCCTCCAGCCCCTGCATAGCTGCCTCAGCCCAAGCTACGTGTAGCAGAGACAAGCTCCCCGTGCCAAGCCCTGCCTAAACTGCAGGCTTGTGAGCAAAATAAAGGCCTGTAGGTGTTTAAGCCACTAATTTTTGTGACAGTGTGTTAAGCAGCAATGGATAACTGGCACTTCAAGATAATAAAGAAAGAAAGACTGGTCAAAATGGCTTTAGAAAACCCTCTAACCTGGTACCATAAATCACAGATTCTGACAAGCATAATCTTCAGCACCAAAGAATTCTGCCATGCATGTTCTTCACAACTCAAGTGAGTCCACAATCTTTCTAACATGTTCACTCAAAACTATGCCATTGAGCACAAAAGAAGGCACCTGACTTTCTTGCTGAGACATTTTTTTTAAGGGGGAAGAAAGGCAAGAAAGCTACAGGGTATAAAAACTTGTAAGCTATCAAATAACAAACATTATGGACAACTCTCAATACATCCTCTTAGAGAAAGCAACTTGAGATGGTGTCTTCCCTACCACCTTCCTGCTACACCCAAAGCGTCAAGGAGCCCCAGCTCTGCTCTCTCCTCACCTCCAGCCTCTCGGGTGGGGGCTCGTTCTGCAGGGTCCTCAAAGCTTTTGCAGCAGCGTCGTGTTTCGCAGCCTGTCTCGTCTTTCCTTTCCCGTTAAATTGCTGTCCTCCCACAGAAAGTTCAACTTGATAAAGTAAAGGTGGCACTGGAAATGGGTAAAAGTACCTAAAAATAGAGGGGGGTAAGGAAAATGAGTCTCAGGTAAGTCACCATACGTTCTCTGAAAAACTCCAGGTATTTCCTTCATCACAGGTCCTGATCACATCAGCGTTTACTCACCAATAATGACTCCTCATCAGTACATCCAGAGATTTCCCATGTTTATGCTGCATTAGAATTGCCACACGGTATGAGCAAATACTGTTTATGTGCCACAAAATACACTGCCTTACAAATTATATGAGTTCAATTTATAAAGCTAACCCGTATTTACAAAATCTAAAATAGATTAGACTTTGGCTGAGACAGAACACTTAACTTGCTCTACTTTCTCGTACCTGAGATTCACGCTTCCGGGTCTCCAGGAAAGGATGGAAATTTTTTAACAGACGTCTTTTAGAAAGGACCCTCATTTCTGTAAATCCCAATATCCTATAGCCTGGTGGAGGCTGGTTTCTATTTTTAAAATTCCACCTCCCTCCTACCCCAAAGTAGGGAAGGGAAATGAAAAATGAAGACCTCCAGTTTGATCATCAATCTATCCACTAGTGTCTTATGACCACAAGCAGAAGGTTTTTAACGCATGGCATTTTCAGGTTTCGATTAATATTTTACTGCATCCATATACCAAGGCTATTTACAAACACATATGTAAGTTCAACAGTCAAAAAGTACCCAATAAACAATAATCAGGAAATCTGTGAATGCTGAGAATTGTGGTATTGCAGGAATCATGTTCAAATATGACTCAGTTTGGGACTTTCCTGGTGGCACAGTGGTTAAGAATCCGCCTGCCAATGCAGGGGACACAGGTTCGAGCCCTGGTCCGGGAAGAGCCCACATGCCACGGAACAACTAAGTCCGTGCGCCACAACTACTGAGCCTGCGCTCTAGAGCCCACGAGCCACAACTACTGAGCCCACGCGCCACAACTACTGAAGCCCGCATGCCCTAGAGCCCGTGCTCTATGACAAGAGAAGCCACCGCAATGAGAAGCCCACACACCTCCAAGAAGAGTAGCCCCCGCTCGCTGCAACTAGAGAAAGCCCGCGCATAGCAACGAAGACCCAATACAGCCAAAAAAAATTAATAAATTTTAAAAAATAAAATAAAAATCATTAGGCCATCTTTGTTTAAAAAATAAAAATATGACTCAGTTGCACAAAGCAGTTAGAAGGGTGATAGCTTTAACCAGATAGCTTGGGGCATGAGCCGTACTGCTCGTGAGGAATGTGCTCAGGCCCTTTCCAATGACAGGAGTTAAAAGAGCATCAAGATACAGTTCCAATGACACCAAGACAATTAAGACTGACTTTAGCATTTGGCAGGCCAAAGAGGACCAAACCATTTTGTGCTCTACAATCTAAAGATCTTATTATTCTACGTAAAAGATCAAATATATCTTCACCTGTATTGAAAACAAAACAAACACATACCTTGGGGGATAAGCACCTCCTCTCATGTTGTAGTTATAGGTGGACTGCATCCGAGAGTAAGGGTCGACAGGCTTATACATTGGTTTTTTTCCAAGTTTCATGCACAGTGCATTTAGCTCTACAGTAGGGGTTATGCTTTCTGCAACACAGAATCAACACAAAGAATTGTTTTTTTCTGATGTGAGAATGACACTCACTAAAATCAAAAAGAATAGCATGCTTTCTACTAATTGGATTCATGATGTATTTCAGGAAAAGATCTAAATACTTCACTGCTAGGCATCAGGTCAGGAAATCCAAGAATCTGCTGTGATTTCTAGGTATTAATACACAGTCAGCAGTACAAAATATACTGTAACGGCTATTAAGGGAGCATCAGTGTAACACAAGATGTTAGCAGTGAAAGCCAGTTGTCAGAAATAAGTTCCAATACACATCAAATTCCATGATTAAAAAATCCCACAGGACCGTCCAAGTCATTTCATTGTTTGGGAATACTCAACCAACATAACTTTGGTTGCACTGACTGGCTGGCTTACACTTAGAAGGATGTTTGTACACACTATTTCATAGAACAATGCATTTATTCAGTACTAACTGGAGGCAGAGTACTGTGCTAAGCTTGAACACAATTCTTGCCCCAGAGGAGTTCAAAGAACACAAAACACACTCAAAGAACTACAATACAACATTATGTGTGCTATAAGGAAAGGTGCAGTATCACTGAGGAGGAGACAAGTAAATTCTATCTGGAGAAGTCAGATGAGACCTACAAAATATTTAGAGGTTCCCATTCTTAATTTTTTTTGGGGGGGCGGGCCACACCTCACAGCATGTGGAACTTCCCTGATCAGGGATTGAACCTGCACCCTCAGCAGTGGAAGCACGGAGTCTTAACCACTGGACCACCAGGGAAGCACTGGATGTTTCATTCTTGATACTTATAATGGGATCTGACTTGTGGTAATACTTGTTAGAAAAATGAGATCTGTTGCCGTATACAACAGGAGCAAGTATATCTTGGGTTATCTCAGAAATAGCAACTTTAGAAAATATTCATTATTCATCTTCCTTTTTTTCCCCTCTCATTTCATCCAACTCATAAACCTTTAAAAATCATTTAAAAAGAAAACCAGCCTGGAAAGATTAGTGTAGGTGCACAATCACATTTAAAAATAACACTTTAATATCAAACACAGAACAACACTAGCAATGGCAAAGTTCGATTTAAATGCACACAAAAATCCATTTTAAAATGCCTCTTTAGGGTGTATGTAGAGGAAAATAAAAATGACTCGATTCTGTACCATAACTGGTTTGACTAAGTTTAGTGCATAAATCCAATTTAGAAGAATACCTTTGAGTTTGCAAAGTCAGAGGGTCACATGAATAACAACCTCTCTCTAGCTAACATCAGAATTATATTTTTTACACAATTCAAATAGTGCATTTTAAGTAAGAGCAGCTCTGACCCATAAAATTTATCTGCAGTAGAGAATAAATTTAAAGAAAGAATACCACAAAGCAATCAAAAGCAACAAGAAAGGTGTGACCGAGATCTTTTGAGATCTTCCCAGATCATTCCCGAGTGCAAAGGGCCTGGAATGACTTCACGTACTGGAGCAATAACTCTCCTAAAACAGCCACTTCTACCTACAGCCTCCAGGTCAGTGGTTCTCAAGCTCCCGCCAGACACTCCTCTTTATCAGTATTCTCCCCAGTTGGGCCCTTGCTTGAAGAGATATTACCTACTGATTTGTATTTAAGAAACAAATATTTAAAATATTTTCTCATTCTTGTTAATGATCAGGAAACATAAAACTGATAATCAGGGGTTATGATCAACATGTTATAATCAATATGACCACACGGAGTTGAAGTGATTTTAGCTAAAACCCACATTCTTGGCATCTATACAACCTTATCAAAAGAAAACATGTATTTTCATTAGGCTTTTCTAAAAATCTCGGAAATCATCTGGTGACATCCTTCACCGCCCACGACCACCTTTCCAGACCAGCAGGAGTGGAGGGACTGGAGCCTGGGAACCACTGCTTTAGAGTAAGGCTAAGACCTGAAAAGATAAGCATTTGCCACTGGTAGTGCAGACTCTGTGCTTTCAAAACCAACAAGTTAGTTAAGAAAGAATTCATATACATACTAAACAGATACCTCTAGACACACTTTTGAAAGGAACCTGTCTTGGCCCACGCATAATACCTGGATTCCTTCCTTCGCTACGAAAAGGGCGGACTATAGGTTTAGGAAATTTTGTTCCTTCCAAAGCTTTGGCAGCAGCTGTGTGTTGGGCTTTTTTAATACTAGTTCCTTCAGCTTCCCAGTGCTGATCTCCAAGTGTTAGCTGTACTGTAAACACCTACAAATGAAAATTGTGAGCTCTCAATTCATGAAACCTGATGTTGACTATAATATGTCACTTGGTCCTTGAACATAATTTATGGTCATGGTTTAAAAGGCCTGGTCATTATCTTGATAATTTATCCCTTCATCCCCTTTTTCGTTGTTTTTATAAACACAAAAAGATACACATATCATTGACTTGTACTGCATAGCACTCCATGAAAAAACTATGCTTTGAAAGATGGGGGTAAGTACAGAGATTAAAAAATGTTCTCTTATATATTAAAATATTAAATGCTGATGATCTGGAAGCCATCCAAATGGAAAATTGTCTTCCCATTATTTCTCATGGAAGAAACTTAGCAAACTTGACTTAGACACACAGTAGTGCCTCATACAAATGAAGACAATATTTGTTTTGATGTTGTAATTTGTTTGTGGACGCTTGTCTGAAAACACAACCCCATTAGAACGAAAACTCAAATAAATTTGGGAATGTCAGCCAGGTTCGAAAATGCTGCCTTTTACTTTCCTAAGACTGCACTAGTCAGACACTGCTTCCACTTGCAGAAGCAAATCAGATTCATAGCAAGTAAAGATCTAAAAACGTTTCTGAACTCAATTCTAAGGAGGCAATCAAAACAGCTAATTCCGTCCTCAACAAATACTGACAATGGCAAGCCTCTTTCTTCCTTTTTAAGTATAAAGGTAACTCATGTGCACACTCCATTCGTAAAATTAGGTTACGTTAATCCGATCAGAACTGGACTAATACTCTATCAAAAAAAAAAAAAACCATGACCCATCACAGCCCAGTGATTCTTTAACTTTGGTGTGCATCTGAAGAATAACCTGGGAAGCTTGGTAACATACACATGCCCAGGGATTTCGACTGAACAGCACCAGGGAAGCCCAAGCATGTGTATTTTTAACAAGCTCCCAAAGTGATTCTGATGCACTTCAACGTTTCAAACTCACTACTTTGGAGCTTTTATTCTTCTCATCTTCTTTATCACAGAATATCACTTTATTTCATTGACAAATAATTCACATGAGAAATGTTAATCTGAGTATGCCTAGGTCATTTAAATTTGGTGCCTAAAGGGATGGGGCCAACTTGCCTTATAGCTGATTTTTCTTATAGGTCTTAACTTCAGGATTCCCTCAGTGCACAGCTTCCACTAAAGGGGAAAAATTAAAGAATCCTTCATCCCCCTTGAAATATTAGGGGTCTCCTATATTTATGCTGCAGTTCATAATGCTACTCACTTAAGCACCAATAGCATGAACTCAAAACCCTGGCTGGCATGAAAGGTCAAATGGCAGAAGAAGCCTGCAATCCTGTGCAATCCCTGAGTCATTTTTGTGATCCTTTCATGGAAAGACATTGAAGGGGAAAATGCTAAAAGATAGAAAACAGTTAATTTCATGATCAGTCTTGCCTTTCTCCAGGGCTGTCCCCGTCGGCGCTGCTGCCACTCTGCTGCCTTCTGTGTGGAGGGTTGGTAGTGAGGTTAGATCTTGGTTCAGACAGAATTAAAAGTACACCAGACCTCTGACTTTTTAAATAGTCTAACAATCATCTAGGAGGGAATAACTTTTCCTCTTTGAACAACTTGTAGGTAAAAAAAAAAAAAAAAATGCAGTTACAGATTGAACACACAGCCAAATTACCTAAAGTACTAAAGTTCAAGTGAGAAAGTACATATTTCCAAAAATATCAAAACAGTTAATAAAGGGAATCCCAAAGTTAAGATCTGCAAAAAAAATCCTGTAGAAGAAACAGAACAGTTATAAAAAATGGCTAATTGCCTTCTAAAGGTAAAGAAACATTTCAAATATAATTATGCTTTAGAATAATATTAAAACTAGCTTCATGTGAGTGGGAAATTTCTGTTTTTCTTAAATGCATAATTGCCTAATAATAATAAGTACCATTTCTCAAGCATTTACTATGTGCCAGACATTGTGCTCCACACTTTAATATATCTCACAATAGACTTATTTGGTAGGTATTATTATCCCCATTTTACAGATGAGAAAACTGAGGTTCAAAAAAAGTAGCAACTTGCCCAAGGTCACACAGCTAGTAAGAAGCTAAGATTCAAACCCAGATCTGTCTGACTCCAAAGGCAACTCCCCTAACTGTGCTATCCTGTGGTGCCATTTATGATTGTGGTTGATGTTACTTTTAGTCAAATGAAAAGAGAAACCTGGTATCAGTCAAGGTTTGAGGTTTGCATGTCAAGAAAAATGAGGCATAAAGAGACAAATAACTCATCCTTATAAAAAGTATATCATCTTACTGCAAGGCTAGGATCAGAAACAGGAGGCCCAATTCCTTATGTCTCATACTACAGCTGCAAAAGATAAAGCCAGATATGCAAACATTTAAGTTCCAAGATGTACTGATACATTAGCACAGATATCAAACAAGCTTAAAAGACTGAACTCCTGAATAACAAATAGGAAAAATTCAAATTACAGTCAGTCTTTCATCCTCTAAGATGAGGGGAATGAGAAGGGTACCTGAAATCAGAGATAATCCAAAATACTCACTGGGAGACTAATTTTACCTCTCATATTCAAACCTTGTTATCTGATTGCCAACAAGTGGCAGAACTGATTTCCCATTCACCTCCTCTCCCTGCCCAGTCTAAGGTACACATGCACTTTCAAACAAGCAGGAAAGGAGCCAGAGGTAGGCAGAAGCCAGGAGGCCCAGAGCCTGGAAAACTCACAGGAAATCAATCACAGGTGCTTGGGAATTGTCTCTATTCAGAATGCTAAACAACCACACGCTAACTGGAGTTTTAAAAGCCAAATATCCCCCAAACAAGCACATCTTTTCTTTGACCCATCCTGCAAGGATGAAAAAAGAAGCGACTCGCCAACAATCTGTACTTTTGCGTCTCTTTAAGACAACCTCAGCAGTTTGAAAATATATATATTTTGCATCACAGAACCACTTGCAACTGTATAAAAAGAAAGAAAACATTCCTAGTGGGTTATAAATGCACAAGCAGTATGGACAATATTTACCTTACAGTGAGCTGGACCTTGCTCACGCAAAAGCTTATACTCAGGTTGAATCTTGTTGAAACGGGCTAACTCATTCACAAGACACATTGGGGTTTTCTCTTTGGGGTGTGCCATGTTAGAAGGAACTGAAAAATAATGTAAGAGCATTGAAGTCAACTAGCAGTATTTAAGACTGCAGCTCTCCCAGGGATATGAAAAAAGAGGGAAAACAAGCTGAAGGTCTAAGGATTTAAAGCAGCAGTGATGCAATACTGCAAACCACACTGGGGGCACATATCTGAAGACACAGCTGGGATCTTTTCTGAACCAGTTGAAGCCAGGTAACCTAGGAGGGGGTGTGTCTTCAAAAGAGAGAGAATAGAAGTCAGAGGAATAACTAAACCATGGCAAGCACACAAGATTTGAAATCAGATGAAGCACTGCTATTATAACCAAGGGAATAACAAGGAGGTCTTTTGAGTAGAGACACACACACACACTGGTTACCGCAACAGCTGTCAGCTGTACCCTGTTCGTTATTTCATAAAAACTCAATATGCCAGTACCATTTCTCAAACAACGACTGTCCTTTTCCACACAGCTAACTTCTCATTCCTAGGGCGTCCTCTAGTCTTATCTCCAGAGGCTGCCATCCTCAGACCATATCCATTTCTGATAATTATAAGTAAAATAAAATGGCCTTTGTGGGTGGGAGTTTTATGAAGTCAAAAAAATGTGGATATAAGAACACATTAGAAGAAAAAGCAATAAATCCCAGAGGACTGAAATAGTCTGTGCCATTTCCTATTAAGATGGTATTCAAATGGCAAATATGGGGAACACTGTATCTCTAGGGGACCATGACAAGTCAAGAATGCTATTTGGTGAGCTGGTCCAAGGAAGTCTAGAGGTAGCAGCATGATAGATGCCATTCTGCCGAGAGTGGGACAAGCTAACACTCTAAGAACAGATTTACAAAGCAAAGGAAACGAGACGATGAAGGAAGAGGAGGAAATGCAAGGGAAACTGTCAGGCTTAAGGTTGAAAAGAATTTTTTATTAGGTGACTCTAGCATAGAGACACCTATGCTGACACCCCATTTAATTGGTTTTGCAACTTGGGGGAAGGGGAGGTTTGGGGAGCAGAATATTGTTTTTAGGGTTTTTTCCCCAGAGGTTTCAAGTTTTTCCTGATCAATGAGCACATTTATTTCATTTTTATTTTCCTAATATTTAAATTTGAATGCTTCTAAACTTATTTCTTTTTTAAAAATCTCTGCTTCTTTGTTCAACTTCTAACTGGTCCTCACTATGATTTCTTAGCCACCTCTGGAATCTCAATTTAAGCTTACTTATTCAAAATAAAAATTATCAAATGCGAACACACTCTTTTGCTTTCCAATAAATCTGCCTGCCCCCTTGCTTGGGAAAAATCTTATAGACATCCAAAAAGGAGGCTTACACCTACAAATCAATTCTGGGAAATAATGATAAAAGCAGAATTTTCCCATATAACAATGAATATCCAAAGTGGTATTTACTGTTCGATTCTTTCTGCCAGCTACCATTTTATAATAGACAAGGCTGTATAGTTTAGTTTCCAATTTTCTTTCTTACACTTTGAAATGGTCTGTCAAAGGCCTCCATCAACCCGATATACAACCAAGTGTGTTCTATATCTGGGATAAAGAAGCGTGGGTGGTATACTTTCTTCTGCTTCTTGAAGGTAAATGTGTGTGAGAGCTCCCTACATCTGCAATCTACTTATCAGATCAGAAAACAGGCTAAGAAAACATTTGAAACAGAAGACACTTGGAGTCATACGCTTACCTGCAGCTGCACTGGTGGATGTAATAGATGCAGAGGGTAAAGCAGAGTTTTGAATAGGTCTACCTGCATTTTCAGAGGGCAGAGAGCTAGTAGTAGAAGGAATACTCATCAAAGGCTGTGAGAGAAGAGACTGGTTCTTGTTCAGTATTTGGCTCCCTGAGAGAGCGGCAGATGGGTTCTGAACTTGCACTTGAACTTGAGACATGGTCACTTTCAACAAAAGTGAACAACTGCAGGTAAACAGCTTTCAGTGCAGGTTAATTCAGTGCTATGAAGTCTAAAGTTCTACCTGAAAGTTGTAAGGGAAAGAAAATAAAAAGATAAATTATAGAGGAGATATGTAATTGCCAATATTCAGTCAAAATTGGTGTCACCTACTCTAGTATGATAATGGCCCCGTTTAGTACGTAGCTATGTTGATGTATTAGAAATGTGTCTCTCCTTCGTATACAGTAAGGTTCACTAGCCTTGTAAATTTCTCAAAGTGTTTTTAAATGACTTACAATACCCACATGCCCTGCATGTTCATTTTACAAAGAGAATCGGCATGGTATGATAATATTTATTGTTGAATATTAAGAATTATAAACTATAGTTATATTCAAAAATGCAAATTAAAAAATATGAAGAGGTTTTCCATTGCATATGGGATATGGTAAAGGTTTCTGGTTTCAAATTGATAAGAAACTGAAAGCAAACTGGGTTTGTAACACCATTAACAGGTGAATGTAAACACTGCTTCCATTTTAGGGCCATATGCTCAGATTGGCAACCTTAGAGCTTTCCTTTACATTGACTGAAGAAAGAGAAGAATTCCTCACTTTTCCTTTTTCTTTTTCCTTATGATGGTAAAAGATCTCTTTGTTTTCCTACAAGGTTTGTTTGAGATAGTCTCATTTATTTACAGATCCCAAACAAGAATTGCTGCACCCACATCAATGCTCATGATCCTGAGAAATCATCTGAATAGCAAAGAACATTCTATAGTATTTCTATCATTAAAAGCAAAAGCAGAGAAGATGAAGAAGAGAGGAACAGATTTCAGACAGATGATTTTACTAGCGTGGCTTGTAGGGGTAGAGCCTACGGAGCAGAGATTGTTTACTGCATCTTGTAAGTTCCAAAGGCATTAATCCTAAATACATTTAAATTTCTTCACAAGTCAAAAATAAGGACAGTTCTGCTCATTTTTATAGTCATAGTTCAAAAAGTTGAAAATGTTTAAGCAAATCAAAAGTACTCAAAAATAACCAGTAAGCAACAAGGAACAGAAAAAGCCAACCAAAGCAGAAGCCAGCAAGCTAACAAATTGGAAGTTCTATTATAGAGTAATTTTTGTTACTTTATTTTTTTTAAGTCTCAAAATGATTTTTAATTAACGCTGGACCTCTAGAAAGAGATGAATGACCAGAGCAATTAAGTTACTTGAGGAGTCCTGGCACACCCTCTCTTGTTGAAACAAAAAGGACTACAAAGTTCAAAACAAGACAAAAAACAAAAGCAAACCTCAGCTAAACTATGACTTTGGTTAATAGAGGCATAAACATTACCTTATACAACAAAATTCTCCAATACTGCAGTTGTTCCTTGCTTACTTTTGAAATCAGAACAAAATAACGGAGGAGATGCACTGAAGATCTAGGTAATGGTCTTAGCAGATAAGTTGCCAGTGTCAAGAAACAAGTCCAGAACCTTTCAGAAGTCAGCTATGACCCTGTTTCATTGTTCTTATTTCATTCAGCTGCCAAAATATAAACACTTCTCTCTCAATCTTCCCCCTCCTTCTTTTATTCACTCTCTCCCTCTCTTTCTGAACTCTGTCTTGAGGGCATTTTTCTAAAGAGTATACTCACAACTTCACAACACCAACCATAGGTCACAGGTCAAAACATAAGCCAAAAGCCAAAGTGTTTGCTCCACAGTCTACCTGCATCCAGAAGGAGCAACCCAACTCTGCCCTGGGTGGCTCTGGAGAGTCTGAGACTGAATGAACTAAATTTAGAAAGGGTGGGGCCCAAAGGGATCTCTTTTGGCTAACGTTCTCTACAGCAGGCCCACTGCCAGCATTTCCAGTCACAGACATAAATTCATAGGTTTTCTAGAAGTTGAGAAAGGGAACAAACAAGTTATTAATTAAAACTGCCCCAAAAATGTTAACCCCAGGTACACCTGGAGGAGTTATGTCTTTAAAACAACTGGTTGAAACCAGTAGCTCAGAACTGCAAATTAAAAAAATTTTAAACCCTCCTAATAAGGCTCTGTATTTTACAAATTTTTAATTTCCAATATGACCAATAAAAATTCAACAACCAGTACTCATTTTTAGTCATTTACTAATTTAACATTTCTACGTGTCTTTAAGCCTGAAAAGAGAATCTGAAGCAGTAGTTCTAAAGTGGGGGCAATTTTGCTCCCCAAAGACATTTGACAATATCTGGAGCCATTATTTGATTGTCATATTTGGGGGATGGCAGAACCTATCAGTATCTAGTGGGTAGAGGGGCAAGCATGCTATTTCTAGTACATATATAATACGAATCCACAAACTAAAATCTTACTAATGTATTAAGCAGCTTATATTCTCAGACAGGAAAAGAAAACCCCCTTTTCATCTCAAAAGGCTCTAAAACACTGATGCTAATATTTTACCCAAACAGATGCTCCTCCCCTAAGAGAAGCCAGGCAGCTATCATAGCTATAAATGGGGGGGAAAATATGGTTTACTCACATAATTCAAAGAACAAATAAAGTTTTTCATTACTGATATCTATATAGTTCACAGAAGTATTCAGGGCAATCACAGAATTTCAGAGATATTACTTCTGTATGAATTTAGAACCTGTTGCTCAACAGTGCTCCATACTGAGATTAAATCCTTAAATGAAAACTTATCTTTTCCTTTACACCTGTCTTTAAGGATTGTTTTCCAACAGATAAATTAGGGACTTAGAAGAGATTAAAATGCTTTATTAGAATCTTCTTACAGAAGAACAATATTTCACACACAGTAAAATTAGGTTGAAAAGTTTGAAACACAGAGACTCCAGTTTTCCCCAGCGTTGGAAACACCTTGACTGTTAAGCCCGTGTTGTGCTATTTCCCTGCCTCCAGCACAGATGAGAACCTTTAATCTCCTGGGTTTTTTCCTATTTGAAGAGCTTGAGAAACCAACTCAAGAAAACATTTTCATCCTGTTCTCAAATCCTAAATTTGTGGAGTACATATAAGAACTACGACATTATAAGGGGTTAGATGATAATTATGGGTACCTCTATAAAAGCATTTTTTTTAATTGTACATGATGTGCTAAAAAGTGATCAGGCACAAAATGCATACTCCTAACTCAGCAATGAATCTACCAAGACTGGGCCATACTGAGTGCACAGTCTGAGAGATTTAATACACAAAAAGGCAGATCCTTCTAGAAACAGTTTACAGAAACACCTACAATACTACTTAGTCCTAACCATTTTCAACTAACAGATTGTTAAATTGTTGCAGTATGAAATACCTACTTCAGCAATTAGGGAAGATCATTTTTAATATCCAATTTTTATCAGGATTTACACATGACATAATGAAGTATCTATACTTTTGTGCAATCAACACATCATTCCCCTTTGTAATAAGTGATGTTTCCAAACAAGATGTGTTTTTTAAAAAACAGGGAGGGAGGGAGGGAGGGAGGGAGGGAAAAAGAAAGTCATCCCAATTCTGAACAAGCTTTTAAGATAGCCAAGACACTGCAAGAAATATCTCCCCTTCTCTTCTTTATTATATTTTATATAGTATGGGTACACAGATACAAAGGAATATTCCAGTTCCTCACCATGACAGAACATTAACAGTACCAACAGCAATTTTAGGATATATTTATTCACTATTCAACAAAAATTTATTAAGCATCTAGTACGTGTGAACCCTTTTATGGCAGATTGTACATTCTCAAGTGCTAGAAACTACTTGTTAAACTTTTCCTCAAAGACACAAGAAGAGCTCTTTAAGCAACCAACTGTACGTCTATTAATCTGTTCTCTATAGCTTCTGAGAGGCTTCACTCTCAGAGAAACTTTGTCAACAACAAAAAGTTAAGGAATAAACCACTTTTCCTATAAAAGCCTTGAAATACACCTAAAATACCCACGTCCTTCCCTTACATCCAACACTTACTTCCAAGATCCCTGTCCAATACATCTTTCTAGCTGCAATGTGGTTATGTTTTCTGCAAGTGAACTCACTCCCCCACCACCATACCACCCTACCTTCACCTCCCCCTACCAGCATCCACCATCTCCTGCCCCCTGGAAACAGCAATTCACTGACTCCAAATGTTATCCAAACACCTGCAGGCAGGGCAACCACAAGTACAGAAACATGGCAATCACTATCATCCTACATAATCATTTCCAAAAAGACGATGTCAACGTCAAGCAAATAATGTCCAACAGCAGGCCCATATATCAAATCACACAATAATAAAAGGTTCTTGAAAAGAAATATGACCAAACTACTTAAAAGAAAAAAAAAAAGACCACAATGTACTTGGTGCTCAAGAGAAAGACACAGAACAAAAAGCCATGATGAGGCACAATCACTCGCAAGACAATAAAATGAGCCAAAAATAATGCCTGGAAACAACCCAGACTGTTCAAGACCTTTGCATCCAATACAAGTGACTGATTGCAGGGCCAAGCAGGCAATGGAGGATTTTCTTTACACACAGATGTAACCATTAGGTGGTCCATTTAAAGAAATACTTCCTAAAGGAGAATTCACTATTGTTCATCATAGAAAAACCATCACACCATACTGTGCACTAAAGGGGAAAAAAAAAAATTTACCTGTGCAGCCTAACAAGCTGAAAACCTTATTTTCTTTTCTAGGTTTGAAACGTTATCAAGTTCCCCTCCTCCCTTCCCTAGGAGAACTTCTTAAAAGTAAGTCAACACAAACACTTATTATTTTTGTAAATATGGAAGTTTGGGGGTTTTTTTTTTGGCCATGCCGTGCAGCTTGCGGGATCTTAGGTACCCAAGCAGGGATTGAACCCAGACCCTCGGTAGTGAAAGTGCAGAGTTCTAACCACTGGACCGCCAGAGAATTCCCAAAATGGAAGTGTTTTTAAATCAAAATGAATATCTGTGTGTGATCTGCTGGTGATTGTTAAGAGTAATACTGTGGGGCTTCCCTGGTGGCGCAGTGGTTGAGAGTCCGCCTGCCGATGCAGGGGACACGGGTTCGTGCCCCGGTCCAGGAAGATCCCACATGCCGCAGAGCGGCTGGGCCCGTGAGCCATGGCCGCTCAGCCTGCGCGTCCAGAGCCTGTGCTCCGCAACGGGAGAGGCCACAACAGTGAGAGGCCCGCGTACCGCAAAAAAAAAAAAAAAAAAAAAAAAAATTCTTGAATAAGAAGGGGCTTGGTTCAATACACTTAACTGTCTTTTCTTTCAAAGAAAAAAAATTGTAGTCTGTAGCCATGTGCCATCTACGTAGAAACCAGCCTTCCTGCTAAGTAGCAACAAACAATGTTAAATCATGTCAAACTTCTGAGTTGTGGCTTTCAGTTCTACTCCCAACTCAGATAGCAATTATATGCCCAACTCTTGCCAATCCACTGCTTGCTGCCTCAGTTTCCCCAAAGCAATCTGTAATAGGCTCTTTGACAAAGCCTCAGTTGTAGCAATCTGAGAGCTAAAACACTGAAGGAATCCTGAGGCACTGGTAACAGTTACTCAGTCCTTTGAAAAGAAAAGCATTATACAAATTCAGTGTGATGAGTGCAAATCCATTCCCCGAGCTTTGTATAACTTCTCTAAATTCCTTATGCATCAATTTCCTTATTCCCAAAGAAAGCAAGGGTTAACTTGTCTATTAATTACCACCTCAGAGATAGGGTATGATCATGTGCTTTCAGCCCTTAGAGGGAAAGTGCTAAAAAACACAAAGCAGTGTCAATGCTTGCAGTGTCCTGACAAAGGACTGTAAAATCCTGAACACTCTTACAGTAAAACTTTTTGGGTCCAGGTGATCACAAGCAGTCAGTGGTAAATGGAACTTGTTTTCATTCACAACAAAAAACAATGTGGAATTATTTCCACAAGTTTGAAAACCAGGTTTAACATAAGCAATCTGTGAAATCAAAGGCAAACTACAAAAGTTTCTATGACCAAGATGCTATTGACCGAGTTATGTTTAACAACACTTCAGTGGTAAATTTTCACGTCTCTACATTTAAAGTGTATGGCAGTGCTGGCTAGAAGGTTTTACATTCTTGCCAACAATTTTCCCTGTATTGACGTTCTAATTAAATCTCAAGAGTAAAAAGAAATCAAACTGCATAAAATTTCTTGTTTCTCTAATACTATAGCCAGAAGTAAAAGTCATTTTCCACACAAATCACTGAAGAATCCAAAAACATTACAGATTATGAACAGGCCTGAAATTACAGAGCCAAATTACGCGTACCTTAAAAACAAGCGCTCCAGCAACAATGTTGTTTTGGTTCAGAGAGGTTAAGTGGTTGGGAAACTCCTGGAAAATAAGAAACAGTAGCAGTTTACTAGAGTAGATCTTTTTCTGAAAATGAAGATATATATTGCTAAAGTTTTGGGGAAGCCTAAAATTTACAAGTAGGGAAGGAAGTTTCTGAAAGCATGATGTCATGGCTTGAAGCAGCCATGTAGAGTCTACAAAAGAAACAAGTGCCTGGGAACTAACTGGGTAAAAAGTGCTTTGCAGAGACACAAACATATGAGACAGTAAAAATTTCCTTTTTAAATCTTAATTACTTCCTGCTAAGAGAACTATGAATACCTCGGAGTTAATTTTTTAGAAAGGAACTGGAGGGAACTTCCCGGCATTCCAATAGTTAGGACTCCATGCTTGCACTGCTGAGGGCGTGGGTTGAATCCCTGGTCGGGGAACTAAGATCCTGCAAGCTGCACAGCATGGCCAAAAAAAAAAGGAACTGGACATCATATACCATCCAATCACACAAGCCTGATTTTTAAATTTGCAGCCTTTAACTCCTGATTAAATATTTTATTCATAAATGTCCTTACCATATGCTTGGTGATGCAAATGCAATTACATGGGAAAATTTACAAAAAGGAACTTGTACATAAATATTCTTATATTAAACTGCAAAATATGAAAAAGCACATTACCTCTAGCAAATCCAAATCATAATCATTCTTTAGAACTGGATTTCAGATGACATAAGAGTTTAACTCAAACTCTCAGGTCTCATTTATCTAGAGGTGCCCCTTCTGTAAACTGGCAGTAGTCAGTAACAAATAGAATTCTTTACCTTGAGATGCTTTTTGCGTTTTTACAACATAAAGTAATTTTGCTCATTTCAATTTCACACTGCCACTGTGACTTAGTAAACAATAAAAAGTAGCTGTTCACTGTCCAAATAATTTCAGAAATAAAATTATGAGCTTTAATTGGTTCTACAGTATTTTAACAACCCAACTTCTTTCTGTAAATAGTACACTATACTAACAATTCTCCAATCTAGAACCCTATTGTTCCGCAATCTCACCCATTCAAAAGACTAGCATGAATGGAAAATGAAAAGGCCTCTGCACAGCCCAAACAAATGTCTAAGACCACTTAATAGAGGCCATGCCTTTTGCCAGTGTGGGCTTCCCTCAATTCAAGCTCATCTAAATCTATGCTGAACGCTTCTGGTAGGTTTGGTTATCTAGTTTTCTAGCCCAAGCCTGAAGTTAAAAAAATAAAATGTTAAAAAGGAGGTGCTAGAATCAGACAACAGTGAGAAACAACTGTTAACAACTTAACAGCAAAGAAAAAAAGGGGGAGGGAGGAGAAAAACATCAGTCTACAACGCCATGGATTTCAAACATCTCAACACAACACAGGTGATAGCTGAGATTCATATACACATTCACACTTCCATGAGCAAACTTTTTTTTTAATCCCCAACCATTTCCAAAGCCATCATGATTACTACCAGTGTATCTTTATACCACTTACTTACTCCAAGCAGCAGCAGAGAAGAAAGACTATGGGATAAGCCCAACTCCCTTTCTTTCCCACTCAAGAAGCACACTAGAACACAAGAGAGTGAATTAAATTCATTGTTTTATTCACTCAACAAATGATTCCTGAACACCTAATAAACAGCAGGCACTATTCTGTGCACTGGGGAGAGAGGAGTACACAAATAAGATGTAGTCCCTGTCCTCATGGAATTCACATTTGTATAGGAATAACCTTGACTCCAACACAAACTTAAATAAGTAATTCACAGTGGCATTTTAATTAGTAGTAACATCATTTATAATACACATTACCTCATAACTAAAGAAGACACAAAAGAACATAAAAGGTCCCCTGGCTGCAAGACACTGATTTAGGATAAGGGCAAACAAGCCATGACATGGCTGTGTGGGTGACGTAGAGAAAACTCTCGACTGGGGATTTGAGTTTGGGTGCCAACTCAGGTGCTCAGCTGAACTACCCTGAGCAAGTTACTCTGTAGACTTCAACCTTTTAATATATCAAATAGGGTTACCACCACCAATTTCATATGATTAACAAACAATAATCATATTATTCTTGGGTGGATGAACTGGTAATGTAGGTGAAATGCTTATAAACTACGACAAAGTTAGCTAATAAACATCACTTTCTTAGGGTACACAGTAACCAATATTATAAAATAATATTAATAAATTATGTTCAAAACACACTATTTAAGAAAGAAAAAAAAATGTAGCAAACTTAAGAAGAACCTCGTCCCCTCCAAAAAAATTTTTTTACTTTATACTTTTTTATGTTTGGTGCTTAATAAATTCTGAGTTAACAGGGAAATAGTTCCTTGGCAGTCGTCCTCTAAATGTTTCAGACTGTAAACGTTCACTCTACTACAAACCAAAAGGAAACTTATTTGCCTGACTACATTTGACTGTCATCTAGGTAAAGGGTCATGGAGCCTCAATGAGCAGGTTAAACTGCGCAACAAAGAACGTAAGCCTCCAAGAATAATCAGACTTATCATTACATATAAATTATCTACTAACAGAGGAAAGGACTGCCTTGCATTTTGTACCAAATCACAATGGCACCGGCAGACAATGGTCCTATTCGTATCAGGATGGAATCTGCAAGGATAGAAAATTCATGTCTTAATTTTAATCTACAGAAAGCATGGACTTCAAAAGAGCAAAAATGTGCGAGAATCAGACAAGATCTAGGTAGATCATAAAGCTCATGCCTGAGAGGAGCTAATATGGTAACACCTTAAGAAGCATTATCTGCTCATTTCATTCCCAGAAAAGACACATTTCCAACACCTTTTCATGATTAATGAGACACACTTATGCCTTGGTTGAGGTTAAACACAGAATGGAAACTCATATACCAAATCCAAACTCATAACCCCAAATCCAAAGGCACATTAAATTTCAGTGATCTAGCCTTTTAAGACTAGCCATAAGGGTTGACCTGGTAGCGCAGTGGTTAAGAATCTGCCTGCCAATGCAGGGGACACGGGTTTGATCCCTGGTCGGGGAAGATCCCACATGCCGCAGAGCAACTAAGCCCACGCACCCCAGAGCCCACGTGCCGCAACTACTGAAGCCCGCATGCCTAGAGCCACCACAGTGAGACGCCCACGCACCGCAATGAAGAGTAGCCCCCTCCTGACACAACTAGAGAAAGCCGGCGCACAGCAACAAAGACCCAAAGCAGCCAAAAATAAATAAATAAAATTTTTTAAAAATGGCTGGGAAGCAAAGAGGGCAACAACCCTATAAAGTTAATTAGAGGCTTAGTTAACTCATTTCCAGTAAAGCAGAATAATATAATTCTAAAGAAACTAAGTTTCAGACTTCCCTGGTGGCGCAATGGCTAAGAATCTGCCTGCCAATGCAGGGGACACAGGTTCGAGCTCTGGTCTGGGAAGATCCCACATGCCACGGAGCAACTAAGCGGGTGCACCACAACTACTGAGCCTGCACTCTAGAGCCTGTGAGCCACAACTACTGAGCCCGCAAGCCACAACTACTGAGCCCACACGCCTAGAGCCCATGCTCCACAAGAAGAGAAACCACCGCAATAAGCCCACGCACCGCAACAAAGAGTAGCCCCCGCTCACCGCAACTAGAGAAAGCTCGCGCACAGCAACAAAGACCCAACACAGCCAAATAAATTAAATAAATAAATAAATAAATTTATATATTAAAAATAAAAAACTGATTTTCTTGGCAACAACCTTGTCTACAGTTAATAAATCATTTTCAATAAACTTCATGAAGGATTATAGCAATAATTTAGGGGACAGCATCCTTCAACACAAAGGCTAATGAAACATCCTCATCCCCATTTACCTCTAAGGCCCACCCCCAACCTTTGAAACAGCTTAAAAGTTTTAGTTTAATTTGACTACAGTAATCTGTCACAACAAACAAAAGGAAACTGAAAATCTTCCAACTATTTCAAGGAAATCATGAACAGCATTCATTTGAAAGACTGAGTACTACCGAGCCAGACTTTTTTCCAAATTGGTCTGAAGTCCTAGTGAACAAAATTCATCCTAACTGTGGTGGGTGGGAGAACTGGGGAGAAAGCACTGGTGACACCCAGAATAAATTACTCTAAACAAAAAGCACCTGAGAATAATTAGAGACGTGTTGTGCTTCAGTGGAAAGAGCTCAGGACCCCACTCCAGTTACTTGGCCTCCCAGATGGGCCTCAGTACCTCAGCTATTACGACCGTTCCTTTGCAAAGACGTTGGGGAGTAACAGAAATACAACACAAAGCGTCCACTTCAACCTCTGGCACAAAGGAAGAGCTCGGTGAACAGCAGCTTTTATATTATTAGATAAATTCAATCTGACCTTTCAGATTCCTTTGCTCCATCAAATAACTCTCACCCTGTAATCCTAACCTGGCACATGGTAAGAGCTTAATAAATAGTAGCAAATATTATTATCCAGCAGATTCACTGATCCTGTCCTCAGTCACATATAAACATCTACAAATATAAACTTAATAGTTACACACCACTTGTAAAAAAAAACATTTTAAATGGGAATAGAGGACATGCTGACTAAAATCAACCCACACTCACTGGGCAATCAATTTTAACGCTACTTCAAATATAGAGACAATCTGATGAGCAATCATTTTCATTTTGGGAAAAGACCCCAGGGCACTTAAATAGATTTTCTTAGACTTTGTAGTCCAGCAGACATTTCAAAAAGCCTCTAGGACAATTATGACCTCTCTATTATAATACAATTATCTGTTTTGCTTCCATTACTGTTATAAACTCACAAAGTCATCACATTTTTCCAAATTAGATTCCAGATTAAACAGAAGCAGATGGGATACAGATTTAATATTTAGAAGACTAATTCTTAATTGAAAGCAAACACATTCTTGGATAGATTTTTTCTACTTTTGCTTTCAGTAAATTACTCTGAGGGACCCCCTGAATATATTCCTTTAACAAATAATTGAACATGTGTTATTCCAGAAAATATAATTAAGTCTGAAG